AGGGTCACCAGGACGTGATCTGACCATGACAACGGGGAAAGCTGTAGATCTCCCCTCAGATCACTTTGCCATTGCTCCAACAAAACCAAATCCGGCATGTGGCCACTGTCTTGGGTTGGGTCCTGCACAATTTGAGACAGGCCCATGGCTGCCATGGTAGCCATGAACTCCCAAGCCGCCTCCAAGGACTGCCCCAGGGACGGTAGATTGAAGTCCCCCAGAACCATAAGCCTGGGGAACTCCACCACCAGCCCCGAGATGGCCTCCAGCAGCTCAGGCAGGGAGGCTGCCATGCAGCAGGGAGGCTGGTACAATAGCAGAAATCCCAACTCTTCACAGGTGCCTAACCTAATAAACAGTGTCTCACAGCCAGAAACTTGTGGAGCAATGCCCCTGAAGGCCACTAGAGATTCCCGGATCACAACAGCCACCCCTCCTCCCCTACCCTGGCCTCTCAGCTGGTGCTACACCGAGAATCCAGCTGGGCACATTTCTGAGAGGGGCACCCCCCCTTGGGTCCCAGCCAGGTCTCAGTAATGCATGCCAGGTCTGCCCCCTCCTCGGTGATCAAGTCATATACAAGGGGGGCCTTGTTGTTAACTGACCTGACATTAAGCAGCAGCAGCTGAAGGCCAGGGCCCCTACGAACCTGCTGACCAGGCTTTGGGAATGAGCCAGGAGGGCCGGAACACGCCACTGGTAACACACACCGGGGGCATCTTCCCCGAAGATGGAAATGCAAATAGATGTGGCAAGGGGAAAAACTTACGTAATTGAAACAGAAAATGCTTATGTCTAGAGTGAAAACTCTTCCCCTGCTCCTTAAATCAGTGGTTTATGGCCTAGATTTTTCTGTAGTCACAGCAGAGGGCAAATATTCTGAGTGTGTTGAATACTGTATAATATCATCAGGTTGAATGTACATAACAGGCAAATGTGTTCTGACAATTATAAAGGCTGAATATATTAAATATTTACCCAGGCAGATAAAATAAAAGAGAATGAGTTACTGACAGCTTCTGTTCTGATCTCTTAGATGATAGTGAAAAAGATGAACCCACAGCACCGCTGGGTACTGGAAAACACTTCTTTTGATTCATGTCAAAGACAGCAAATTCTTTTCTCGGCAAGGGGTTTCACCAATCTTTTCCGGACCCTTGTTAGAGCTAAGAAGGTAAAGCCCAGTTTTCTGTAGTAAAGTTCATTCATGATAGTAAACCTGAGCTATAAAATATGAACTACATTCACATGTGTAGTTCACATATGTTCTACATAATTTAGAATAATATTAAAACCTTGTTTGTGAAATCACTGGATTCCATGTTCTGACTGTGGAAATTAATTCAGTTTGAATATTTTGTTAAATATTCTACACTCTAGTGATAAGATTTCCATGACGTCCAAAACTATTGCTGTTTTGCGTAACTATGCAGGAGTACACAGGTTTTCCTGGGCTGAGACCCACAACTGACCTTTAAGTAGTACACCAAGAGCCACACTCTATAAAGGGTAGACAAAAGTTAAAGATCATTTTATTATATTTAAAATTAATTTAAATTTTGCATGCATACAGGTGAAACTCGAAAAATTAGAATATCGTGG